TACAATAACGTTCATTTGAGCTGTGGAACTGTAGGAGAAGCAGCAGCTAGTATAGGGTATTAAAAAATCGATCATTTTACTCGCTTATAATGTGCTATCAATCCATGAACTGCAAACTCTTTCGAATGAAAGATTTGTTTTTATGGTTCCCCAGCGAATTGCTTACGTGGGAGTTGGTCTGTAGTGGTTGTTGGCGTTTTTGTAGTTTTGCCAGAGCTGTGTAATTATTAAAACCAACAAATAACGTTTGTGCGGTCAGAGTGGGTGGCGGGCGCGTTGCCTGGTGTGGTTTCTGTTGGCTTAACGCAAAGCTTCCAAAATGGACATTGGCTGGCTCTGGCATTCGCTCTTGATGCACAGGCCAGGACCCCCCACCTTACCCCGTCCCACTCCATGATGACTGGCTGGCCGCATTCTGCTGCCGCTGCTAGTGTTGTTGCTGCTGCTGGCTCAGCAGTTCATGTAAAATACAAATAGACAAGAAGACAGCGAAGAGCAGAGTACGCTAAGTGGGACCTGTATCGCTGGCTTAGCAATTGTTTAGGACCAGTTGGGCAAACAAACAAACAAACAAATAAACGAACCAGAGGCATCTGCATGCTCGAAAAGTTTGGAATGGGGTCGGGAAGGGGGGGAAATGTGGCTGAGGGGCATCGCAAAACTTTAACAAGAACTTAAGTATTAATCATGGAAATCAGGGTCTGCTCCGGGCACGACACACACACACACACACCCACACCAATATACACAAATGCTAGCAGACATGCATAAACGTGTCGATCTAAATATGTGAGCTTTGTAGCGTCATTTGTTTGGGCAAGCACGTGAGTTGGCCGGAATAAAAGGACTTGGTCGCAAACTTTGTCGCTGATGACGGCTATCAATGTCACAGGCCTGGCCCTATGCATATTTGTAAATATGTATATAGTATGTATTTGGTGGGTGGGGCGGCAAGTGTTGAGTGCTTAGGGCTGACGCCGCCTGCCTAATGAGGCATTAAACTTAACTGCTCAACTTTTCGCCTGTCAAGCGCTTATTAAATTTACCGTTTTATTGGCCAAAAACTTGGTGTTAACTATGCGCCGGCATCGCCATCGCTATGGCCATGGGCCGTGAAGAGGCCGCAAAGCCATAGGCAGGCAGTCGGGATGGGGGAACGGAGCCGTACACTAAAAGCAAAATCAGATTACGTTGTTTACCGCTTACTTTCGTTGGCAAAACGCTAGCTAGGGGGAACTGGAGGATGGGGCAATAGAGTGGGCTGGCTGGAAGGCTGACAGCCTGATTGTCGGGCAGGGTCCATTTGGCAGGCCAACAAGCATGGCGCAACGCATTGCGCCATATTTAAATAGTTGCAAAGTTCTTCATCAGCAAATTTTATTCGCAGCAATTTTGCTTGAGAAATTTTATTACGCCATTTATTATGTCGAATTTGAGGCGCTTGCAGCGCTAGTAAAATCTGCTGAGCCATAACCGAACGGTAATAATTGAAATGGAATGTAATATGGAATGCAGATCGATTTTGTGCTTAAGTTCCACGGTCAAAAGTATTTAAATTGCAAACCGAGAGCAATTACAACGAAAACGACTTTCAGAGTTGATCAAAGTTGGCGTCCTTCTAGCTGTCCTTGACTTTAATTTATTATTTCTGAAGCTGATATAGATTTGTAGTTATTGCTTTAATGAGATGATGAGCTCTCTTTTAAGGGCGCCAGTAGAATAGCACGAATATAAAAGGTACAATTAGAATTTTCATCAATGTTAATTAAAGAATGAGATGAAAAAAGGTGTGATTGTGTGGATGGAAATTTATGTAGAAATGGGGATTGTTTCAGAAAATAAAGTAGCCGAACATGACACACAAACTACTCCCAACAAAAGGATATATAGTTCGTATATTCTACCAAAGTGTTCCAGAGCGTTTTTAAATATTTAAACAACTGTAAATAGTTTAAATGTGAAAAGTGTAGAATTTCTACACACATTTGCGAATCATTTGCTAGACTTCAACAAATGGCCTTCACAGTTTACAGCCATAGCTTGAATTGTTCACATGAGTTGTTTATTCTCCCCTGTCATGTCGAGGGCAATAAGTCAGTGTAAATGTTGAACGCTTTTCAAGTGACCCGGCACGTCTTTCGGTATGAACTTTCACTGGCAGCGCATTCATTTTCAACAACGTACAACGGGTAATAAGATGTTAGCACATACATATGTGCTTGTATGTTTGCTGAAGGACGAGTTCCTTTTTCTTTCAGCTTTCAACTCTCTACACTCTGCTTTTGACCAAACGGCAAAGAAGTCCACAAACAAATCGCAGTACGTTAAAAGCGTTATGAAATATTTATGTGGACAGCATTGCGGATATTTTCAACAATTTACGACGCTTAACAGGCCGCAATAGTTGGGACACTTCAGAATCGAAAAAGTCGATTTAAGTTTTTAAGATGTCGAGAGCGCCGAAAAGTGCGCTACAATAAAAAATATAAAGCCGTAGAAGAAGAAGAGAATCATGACGACGCAAAACAGCCTGCCAAGTACCACAAAACTACGCTTGCGGTTGGCTTTTGTTGAAGCTGCCATCAATGTCTATGGCGGAAATGAAACGTGCAGCTTTACAAGTGTGCATATATATGTATGTGTGTGTGTGTGTGGGTGTGTGTGTGTGTGTGTGTGTGTGTGAGTGAGTGCGTGGGTACGTGCCACACGGTCTCTCGAGTGTGTTTGTGGCATTGAGTAATCATCAGCGTTGAAAATTGCGTTTTTTATGGTGGGACTAAAAGCAGCGCCGTCAGCGGCAGCTGCGCAGCTTCTTATATATGTATGTACGAGTATATATTTTTTGCCTAAGTTGTACTTAGCACATACAGACACACATACATATGGAAATGTGTCTGTGTGTACTTGGGCACAGCATGGGCGTGCAATAAAATCCTTTTTTACGACAATGCGCTCGCTCATATTACGCATACTTGCCACACCCACTGGCCGCCCTTGATGTCGGTTTTGCGGTTAATGTTGTCGGCCGACTGGCACAGCACAGCACAAAATAATTTCGCAACATATTCAAAGTGTTATTAAACATAGTTTATTAAAACCGAAATTGTATTAGCCACCCAAAACAACAACAATGGAGGCAGCTGCCTCTTGCCTGCGAGTTGTGGACTGAACCGATTCTTGCACTTGAGAGGTCGTAATAAATTTTTGTGATTTTTTCGCTGCGGTCCTCAGCAAGGATTCTCATTGTGCCAAAGGCTGTATCTGCCATCGAGGTCGGGTTCATGTTCATGTGCATGTGCGTGTGCATGCTTTGCCTTATTCTGTGGCACATGACAGCTGACAGTCCTTTACTGGCAGAAAGACGCCGCCAGCGCATAGTGGAACAGGAAGCCAAACTAGCTAGACAAGCCTAATTGGTTGCTTTTTCATTTAAGAGCTAAAAGGCTTCCGTGTCCGAAATCCATTTGGGCAGATGTGTTTATTCTATTTTCACGATTTTGTTGCATTTCTACATAAAAATTCATTTCAGTGCTGTTGTGTGTTTTATGCGCATTTTCCAACACTTAAATACTGCAATTGAATGCGAATCTATATGGATTGAGTTTGAAATGCCAACGGCTTCCTTTTTTGTTTCATTGATATAAAATATTTGTGGCTTTTGTGATTATCCAAGCCAAATATATTTTATATTCTTTGACATATACTCGAACAAACAAAAATTATGTTCACGTTTTGTTAGCAATATAATTCATTCTATTCTAACATTGGATATATCGGCGTTTTTTTCTCACATAATTTAATTAATTGTTGCATACACACTATTTGAAAAGGCTTAGTGTTATACATAGACTCCCCGATCTTTCCCTAGCTCATTGCTGTGATTGACAAAATTGTGTGTCTACTACAAATGGGCCTTAACAACAAATAATTCAATTATTTTGAGTGAAGATAAGACTAAGATTTTCGAAATGGAATCATATTTTGGACAATAGACGATCTTTATTTACACAGCGGCACTTATTCTGTGGTTGGACAAGCTCATAATCTGTAGACGAAGTTGTTGAATTTCCCGATTATGTATTGAATAAAGGGTTTCTACCCATCAATACTCATCAAACCTCTCAGAAATCTGTATTGAAACATAGTTTGCTACTACAACAAAATTCTAGTGAAATAACTCTAATTAGTGGACAAATTATTTGCATGTGTGGTGAGCACAGCCTTACAATGGATAGAATGACACAATTATGTCTTCAATCAATATCCATCAAATCAATACGAAAATTTTGTTACTTATTATATTTGTATGTCAACTATATATCAGTATTAAATTTTCGTGCAACAAAAATCTTCTTGTATAGGAACACGAGTGGGACAATTATTTTCACATGTGACCACAGCATTTCAATGATTATATACAAATTAGGTTATAAAACGAAAAGGTAATTTGGATAGTTGTAGGTTTGATGACGACACTGGGCTATAGAAAAATGTACTTATTTAGCTACTAAACCGTTTGAGAAACATATTGTTTTAATTATTCCCGAATTACTTAAACATTTTCAACTTTCCTATTTTGGTCACGCATAGAGTCTCCTCTGGTTCCCTTGACTTTGCAAAATATCCCACTGTACAACTGTGGCAGTGCTTTAACCGCACTCTGGCACCGGGGGACACTCATGGCTTGTTGGTTTTTTTGCGCAACAAATGTCGCAAGTTAATGCTGTAAACAAGATGTGGGGGTTTTGAGGCGACCCCTTGGTCTTGTGGGGGCGTGTGCGTTGTGTGTGTGTGCTTGCTTATGATATATGTGCCTGGTGTGGCAAATCGGAAATTTAATTTCCACACAAACTGGCTTTGGTCGGGCTTTTTGGCCTTATAATAACTCGAAACTTAATTGCCGGCCATAATTCAGTCGTTGGTCATTAGAGAAGGCGCCAAACAATGTTGACCTTGTTTCTATATCGCTTTCCTCTTCTCTCCCCCTTTTTCTCTGATAGGCCCTGCTGCATACACACGATGTGGTTGCCCGCGATGTTTATGGGGAGGAGGCGCTACGCGTCACACCGCCACCAATGGTACCCTACCTCAATGGCGACGAGCTGGACAATGTGGAGAGCAGTGAGCTGCAGCATGTGACTCGTGTGCGTCTCGTGCAATTTCAGAAGAACACAGATGAGCCCATGGTAAGTGGGGAGATCAGCCACTTGCTTTAGCTGCTGCTTAATCACCGGCATTTTCGCTGTAGGGCATCACGCTGAAAATGACCGAGGATGGGCGCTGCATAGTGGCGCGCATTATGCACGGCGGAATGATTCATCGGCAGGCCACGCTGCATGTTGGTGATGAGATACGTGAAATCAATGGACAGCCGGTGCAACATCAGTCGGTGGGCCAATTGCAACGAATGCTGGTAAGTTGAACGAACTATCGAACTATCGTAGTTGCCATATCAAGTACAGCCTCGTGTTCGACTGTGTGACCGCTTCGATCTCGCAGATTGCTAGACTTACGTATACCAAACTTGATATTACCATCCTTTGAACGCCTCTAAAGACAGAGTTTAATTTAATTTCTAAAAATGTTGAAACGCATTATACTTTTGTACTTCAAGTGTGTCTAAGGTGCGATTTTCAACCAACAAATCTATTTTGTTTTTAAACTTAGCCCAACCAGTTGTGTACCTTATTTTCTATTGCAGTAGTATAATTTTCAGTTTAAATTATTTTCTCTTGGAAATTCTGGTCGAAAATTAATTTAAAATGGCAACTACAGCTTCTTCTTAATCGCTAGTAACAATCTAAATTGGTTTTCCTCTTCTTCTTCCATTTCATTGTTTATATGCAGCGCGAGGCACGCGGTTCTGTTACCTTCAAAATAGTTCCTTCGTACCGTAGCGCACCGCCACCCTGCGAGGTAAGTTCCAACCCGCCCGCGGAATCTTATGGTTATCCTAACTACACTTCCTCATCTTAGCTTGAACGAAACACACACAAACTAACACACAGAAATACACGCACATACAGCTCATTTCTTGCGCTAGTTTGTGTACCCATCTAGTATGTAGTTTTAAGCAATACTCGTACATCCATTATTGTTCAGTTAGCCATTAACGAAAACTCCCCACTCTTCATTGCCCACCACATGCATACACATGCAGCTTTTCAGGATAAGACCCGCTCCAGTGCTTGTAAGTACCACCCTTGCTCTTTTGAATGTACATACACACACATAAACATACACATACACGTGCATATACATGCATATACGCACTCACACCCAGACACACTCAAATATAGACAAAAGTCCAAATAGGCGTCACTCATTAACGTGAAACAAGCGAAATTTGCTTAATTAAAACTCTAGTCGTACCATCAACAACAGTCAAAAGCAGCGGCAACAACAACACCATCAACAACAGCAGTATGAACATTAATTGTTGTAGCTATTGCTGTTGTTGTTGTTGTTGTTGCAACTGTCCAGTCGCTGCCTCCGCTGCCTCCGCTGCCTCCGCTCCCTCCTAATCCCCGACAATCTCATTGTGCGCCATGTAAATGAGTTTCGAAATGATTTTGCGAACTAAACTGCTCGTTTTTTGCTGAGGCCAGCAGCAGCAGCAAGAGCAGCACTGGATCCATAAAATAAGAGTGTGAGAGAGAGGAAGGAGGAGGAATGATAGGAGGGAGTAGATACAGTCAACATTCGCACTAATACTAGCAAACACTGAGTCACGCCGTCAGCGCTTTAGCAACAACTAAATATGTTTTCTGGTTTCCTGTGGCTCTTCTGCCCACAAATTCTTCTTTTTTTCCTCTATTTTATTTTTTCTCTGCAGATTTTCGTACGCGCGCAATTCGATTATAATCCGCTTGACGATGAGCTTATACCCTGCGCACAAGCTGGTATTGCATTTCAAGTTGGCGACATACTGCAGGTAAATGACAGACCAGACCAATTGCATTCCATTCCGATCCTAATCCCATAATTGCACTATATAAGCCCATCTCTGTTTCTATCTCCTATCTGAATGGCAGATCATAAGCAAGGACGATCATCATTGGTGGCAGGCAAGACTGGATACGGTTGGCGGTTCGGCGGGCCTCATACCGTCACCTGAGCTACAGGAATGGCGCATAGCCTGTCAGACTGTTGATAAGACCAAGCAAGAGCAGGGTAAGTGGAAATGAAGAATGATTAAGAAGGAGAGAAAAGAATTCACTGTTTACCATATACCCATATGCATATATGCTATGTGTACGATTTATGTGTAATTGGATGCCTCAATATAATCGTATGCTATATAATTGTACTATATTGGAAAGTGTATGATGAATTCGTAGTTAACCGTGATACGAAAGCTGCTCTCTAATTGTCTCTCAAGTGTCAACGCTCAGCTTAATTGTAGTACAAGCCTACACACTGATACTTACCTACATACACACACAAAACTCAAAATATACACACACATAACAGACTCACACTCACACATCTATATTAAGAGAGTTGCATGCCAAAAAGTAGAACAAAATTTTGTCAATTTCAAAAAACCGCAAAAAAAAAGTAAACCCAAAAGAACCAAAAACTCTGCCAATTTGTTATATTCTTGCAAATGATTTTTTCTCAAATTAAAACCTATAGAGCTATTATATGTCTAAATCATTGAGATTGGACTCATCTCATATGAACCGTCCTCCAATAACATCTTTGTCTGAATCTCTATTTAAGGAATTAAGGCAAATACTATATCATATGAAGTGCTTTATTGTATGGAAAATCTTCTCATAATGTGTACCCGTTAGGAAATACTGTATACAAGTTTACTGATAATGTGACATACATGTATATATTCTTGATCAGTAAATGACGACCAATCGATGTCCGTCTGTTAGTCCGTCCGTCTGTATGAACGCCAGGATCTCAGGAGGTAAAAGAGCTAGAATAACCAAACTTTGTATCTAAGTTCTCCTAGGTCCGAGAAAAGGCAAGTTTAACTTTTTTAAAGTTTAAAAGTTTTTCAGAGTTGGTTCCTTGTTTATAAAGATCTGTGTATGAGTTGGACATGAAAACTGCTGCCGTAAACTTTGACTCAGCTCGGCTATTTAGCCACCATAGGAATAAAAGAACTGTGCGGGAACCTATTGGTATGGACCAATGCTCAGTTATATCATAAAACTGTCATAGGTTCGAAGCGGAGAAGTGCATTTGCAAGGGTATATAAGCTTCGGGTCCCGTAGCTAACGTACATACTTGGTTTTTGTTGCATTATGTAAACTAAACGCTCACAGCCACAATACCAAAAATCCACACACACCCGCACACAGACTACATACGATACATACATACAATGTACAATATATAATATATAAATCGATGTCAATCAAATCAAATCAAATCAATCACAAATATAATGCAGGAGAGCCGGGTGCTGGATGTTCAGCTCACGCAGATGGGTGTGATGGATCCACAGGTAGTTAAAAAGCTAAAGAGTATACGCATAAAGCATACTCCCATAACAATAAGAAAAACTGACCTTTAAAGTTTCATCTTAAGTTTTTGATTTACTGTAAAAAAGTTTACTCGAATTTCTTTCGATAGCGTTGTAAGATAACAACAAGATTGTTCCTACACACTCCATACACACACCCACACATCAACCACAAGTAGCAGAAAGTTCATTTAGATGGCACTTCCACGCTAAATATCACCACCACGACCAAGCTCCCAGAACGTCCAGCTTCATTTGTTAATACTACAGCCTATGTAATTGGCTATAGGTTTTATATTTTTACTTCTGCTGTACTGTAACTGCCTCTTTAATGTATCAGAATCGCTGCATAGTATTATTATACTTAACTATCACCCGCTTATATAGTTCCTGTACAGTACCTAGTCTGTGAAACTTCAGCTCCACAATATTAACAATCATCATCACAAAACTGAACCCAGCATAATAACTCATTCAGGATTCGTAAGAACTAAGCTCAGGCATGCCATTGCAACTACTTATATACTCGAATACTATACCAAAAACATTATATACATATACTCGTACATAATCGGAACTCAAGTGTATATTTGCAACTTTTTTCATCAAAAAGAGAAGCATTGATTTCTCAACAATTGTAGGGAGGGGGTTTTATTTACCGAAAGGTTTCAAAAATTGTAAATTTCAGACGATTCTGATTTCTGCCTGTTATGTTGCATGGTTGTCTCTGCTATATACATACCATATTAAGCATGCTGATCTATATTTGAAAGTACCTATAATTAATATCCAATCGCCATCAATGATGAGTTTCTATATTAACTATTACATTCTGTATAATCCACAGTAAACTGTTCCATATTTGGTCGCAAGAAGAAGCAATGTCGGGACAAATACTTGGCCAAACACAATGCCATATTCGATACGCTCGACGTGGTCACATATGAAGAGGTTGTTAAAGTGCCAGGTACGTAGCAGCTTAGCTGATAAAATTTTAAATTTCTAGTACTTACATATGTAATACTCGATATCTTCCATATTTAGTGGGTGATCCGAACTTCCAGCGCAAAACTTTGGTGCTATTAGGTGCCCATGGTGTTGGTAGGCGGCACATTAAAAATACTTTGATTTCAAAGTATCCCGATAAATATGCCTACCCCATACCACGTAAGATACCCGAACTCATTATCCATGATAAAAATGATATAATATTGTCTGTTTGCATGTTAACAGATACAACGAGACCTGCTAAGCCCGAGGAGGAGAATGGACGCAGCTATTACTTTGTGTCGCATGACGAAATGATGGCCGACATTGGGGCCAATGAGTACTTGGAATATGGTAGGTTGAAATTCTTCTAGTAATAAATCAAACGCAGAAAGATTTTCTTAAAACTTATCTAGTTCTTTGAAATTTTTGTAAATAATTTCTTAATGCATTTTAACAAGTAATGTTCAAAAGAACAGTCCATAAAAAATAATTATACCAACAGCGCATGAAAGTGCATAAGTTATTTCTGTACAAAATGAAATTAGTTACAAAATTAAATCTTTGCCAAATGGTTCTCCAAATATTTAGAAATTGTTAATATTAAATTTAGCAACTTGTCGAGAAATGTTTAGGCGTCAAAGTAAACTACTTTGCCTATTTTTTTTAAGGAAAGTCTTTCGTTGAAAGTATAAAGATAATTTCTTAACATTCGTACTTTTCGAGGCCATTATTAGTATCAATTATTAAGGAAATAACATACCCAAAAGCAAGGCTATATATACAAAATAAAACTGTCTTGACTAACTGATTGGTAAGATATAGGAATCGCAGTGTATAGGTGAATTGGTAATTGGAAAGCTGGTGTTAGACAGTCTTCATCCGATTAATTTCAAATGTCCAATTGGCATCTGATTTGTTGGGTATGCTTGCAGTTATTATTAATAGTATTTGAAACAAGAAAGGAATGCTAAAGTCGAGCAGGCTCAACTCTTAAATACCCTGTACCACCCCACAAAAAAGTAATTAAATTAATTAATTAATTAAATTTAATTAATTAACTAAATTAAATATAAAATATTCCATGCATACATACATATACATTTACATCAGAATCGTGCCTTATGCGTGTTTGTGTACTTGTACATATGTATGTATGTGTGCATTGGGCCTGGCTATATGGCTATAACTTTCTTTCCGATCATTCTATCATAATGAAACTTGGTATACGGATATATAACCACTAACCTAATGTGACTACCAAATTTTAGTTCAAAATTCAAAAAGAATTACGGGAATTACGAGTTATAGAAAATCGTTAATAGGGGGGAGTGGGGGGTGGATCAGAAAAAATGAACAAACTCGTCCTTTCTCGGGCTCAGGAGAATCTGTATACCAAGTTTGGTTATTCTAGCTCTTATACTTTCGGAGATCCTTGCGTTCATACAGACAGACAGACAGACAGACGGACATGGCTATATCGACTCGGCTTGTCATGCTGATCAAGAATATATATACTTTGTGGGGTCTACCAAGCCTCCTTCTGTGTGTTTCATGTGCACCCGCACAAAACTAATATACCCTTGTACCCTTTGGGTACAGGGTATAAAAATCTATATGTGTATTTAAAACAAGTAGAGAAATACTCTGTACATATGTGTAGAATAATTATGCGTGTATCTGTGTGTTTGTGTGTGTCTGTGTATGTCTCGTGTGCCTGAGCAAAGCAGTAACAACAACAACAGCTGCGGGCACTACTTGGTCTTATGTACATATATGTATGGCTATAACTCATGATGAAACTTGGCATTTGGACTTATAATAACTAAATGGAGGTATTTGCCAAGTTTGAGTTCGAAATTCCAATTACGGGAAGTACGATTTGTGTGGGAGAGGGGGGAGGAAGGGAAATTCCAAAATACACATTTTCTGCGTATTCACATAAGGCATCTTGGACTAAAATTTGGTGTCCCCAGGACTTATAGTCTCCGTTATATACTCCACTTTATTCCAGCAAGGCGTTGGGAATTGTTCCGCATATCAAATTAGAAAGTTTCCAGAGAGTTTGATCTAAATATGAAACTGTATTTTGATAGTTTGTATTTATTTGTATTACAGGTACCCACGAGGACGCCATGTATGGAACCAAGTTGGACACCATTCGTCGCATTCACACCGAAGGAAAAATGGCCATATTAGATGTAGAGCCGCAGGCGCTTAAAATACTACGGACCGCTGAATTTACGCCCTACGTGGTGTTCATAGCGGCGCCCTCATTGCAAAATATTGCAGATGTAAGTGTGCTATTGAGCGTGAAGGAAGGCTGTTTGGCATGCAAGTCATCGTTTTGTCTTTGATTTATTTACAGTATGATGGCAGTTTGGAGCGTCTGGCGAAAGAATCGGATATGTTGCGACAGTTATATGGCCATTTCTTCGATTTGACGATTGTGAACAACGACATAAGCGAGACAATTGCCACGCTGGAGACGGCCATTGAGCGAGTGCACACCACCCCGCAATGGGTGCCCGTCTCCTGGCTCTACTGACAAGACAGTGAGCTGGAATGCCCCGACTGTCTGGAGGGTTGCGATTGCGAGTGGGAGGCATACACGCAGGCGTCAAACGCGGCACTCTACTAAATCGAGCGATCCTCCACCAGCCGCCACCATCTAGGTGGCAACAGCGAACTGCAATTGTTTCAACCAAGTATTACCAGTACCACTTATATTTCGAGGCACAAATACATCACAAAAGCAACACACACCACACCACACCACACAGAACAACAACTGCAACTACAATAAGAACTACAGTCGCAATCAGAATGGGGGCCGCTTATTAAGAAATGCGCTTGGCGCTTACAAAACAAACACAAAAAACACAAAAAAAAAAAAATCAGAAAGCAAAAGAAATGATTATTATGAGGTGTGTAAGAAGAAGACAAAGCGCAAAGACAAAATGTTCTATTATTTATATTTCTAAAAAGTGTTTAATTGTTTGCAGTTATGTCTTAGTTTTAGTGAAATATGCAAATGTATTGCCATTCCAGTACGCTGCCTAGTGCGTTATATTTATTGTTTATTTATATACTACATGCATATGTATTTGTTGTTTTTGTTTTATTGTTTACTAGTACTGTGTACATTGTATCTTTGAGCCGTGTGTTTCTTTTTAGTCAGACAGCATTAAACGCTTATGTAAATCCATCACTTGTTAGTATCTCTAAGTTAAGTTATAACTCAACAAAAATGAACATACAAGAAACTGTTTTCAATTAGTTTGCCACATCAACATCAAACAAAAGTCTTTTGAAAAGCGTCAAACGAGTTAGTATTATATAGCAAACTTACGTAATTAATTATAATTAAATATAACAACCACACAACATGCCACACACACACAAACCGACACCCATGCAAAACAATTAGAAAAGAACGCATAACAACAAACAACATTATATTGTGAGCAATTTCAAGTGTTTCATGAAAAAAATAAAAACAATAAATGCGAGATTAAACTACACATTTAAAGTAAACAAAAAGAAAGAACTAAGCAATTAAATGCAACTAACCAAGCGCACGTTCTTAACTGCAATGCAAATAAAAATAAAGAGTAAAAATCACAAAACGCCAACACACCACAAGGCAGGCGATAACAAGCGAAACGAATCATTTGTTGATGTTTAATTAAATTAAATGAAAATGAAAAAAATACAATCAAATTAAATAAATCATTTGCGAAAAGGAACAAAGAGAAGCATCATTATAAATGGCATTTAATGAATAAAAATAATAATAAAAGCAAAACATAGAGTGAGCACAAAATAAATTTAAAAAACAAAAAAGTTATACACACACAATGCAGAAAAAACCAAATAAAGAAATCAAGTTATCACCAACTACGATATTTAGCGAGAACATAGGAGAATGCGTAGCACACACACATACACTATCACACCTACATACACACCTATTTAAGTACGATATATGTATGTATATTTTTTTGAAGAACTCAAAACTCAGGTTGGATACATTGAAAATCAGTCGAAAGTTCAATGAGAAATATGTATAAATATATAGCGAGCGCTTCCTTTAAAATCCCACTGCTAATGCCAGACAATTCGTAGAAAAGAAGAATGAACCCAGCTAGAAAATAAATTGAAATTGAACATACAAGTAAAGAGAGATCAATAATAAAAAAAAACCACCCAGCGTCGCCTTTCCAGAAACTTCATTTGAAAAGCTACGCAGAAAAACTCAAAACTTCATTCAAATGCAACATTTTTGGCACTTGTAAGAGCACACCATAATACTTACTTAATAACAACCAACAATGCAGCTTAAGCAAAACTTTGTTAACTATATACACTCGGCTCGTACTACATACTATATGTATGTATGGTAGCCCTTGGCTACCTCTGATGTCAATTTAATGGCATGTGCACAACTTTGACAGCCCACTAGTAGCGAAGCTTCAAAGTTGTCCAAAGTTTACTTCATTAAAACTTAATGCGTCGAGTTTGGCTATAACTCTAGGCAAAAGTTTAAAGAGTGCGCACACACACACCCATACTTACACACACACATACACAATTTAAAACTCTAAAAGAATGTACGTTAAATGCCAAAGGTCTCGTTAACTTCCTAAGTAGCAAAGCGAAGCAGGCAACGTGGAACACTTACTTTAGGCCAACATTAGTGCGCCACAACAACGCAAAAATGTAATGAAACAACAAGAATTAAACATTTAAAACACTTTTTGGGCAACACACTAAAAACTTTAACTATAAAATGAAATTAAATTTATAATCTAAAGAAAACAAATTATGAGACAAGAAAGCCAGGCAGCATGACTGCAATGATGGCACATGCCAGCAAAAAATTACCCCTCAAAAAAGGAAAAATAAAAGTTCCACAAATGTTTCAAAAATGTTTCTCCACACACCAAGCAACAACCCTCATTTTCATTGCGACCCCCTTCCCCCACAGCCCACAACTCCCCCACCTACCCAGTAAACACTTAAAACACTTAATGGCCAGAGCTTATTTTTGAATCAATAACACAAAACAGGAAAGCCACTCGCAATTTCACAATAGTTGTTATAATTAACCACATGACATGCAACAACAACAACAACAACAACCACTAAATTCTATGGTTTCAAAATGGTTGAACAATTTATTATGTAGATGATGATGATGTTTACGAAGATGATGACGATGATGATGTTATTTGAAGTTCCCATGCAATCGGCAGACGGTAAACAAAATTTCAGAAAAACACACGACACTAACGCTACAGATCAAGTGGAAGAAGCAACAGCATAAAGCCTATATCTCTCTCATTTGAAGCGAAGAGCTAAAGAAAACAAAATAGTAGAGATTTGTGTGGAACATAGATGAGAGATAAGATAATTAGATAATGTTGTTGATTTTGAGGGACTATTGGCAGAATATTTGTGAAAACGTTGCAAGTAGATTGTTATCAGTTAAAAATGCTATCATTTCGTTTGAATTTGGTTGCCTTCTCGCGGAAATGGTACTGAAGCTTTTTTCTAAGTATAAAATATTTTAGTAATTGAAGTGTTTTCTGGCCAATAAGAACTTCACAAAATGGTAAGAAAGTTTGAAAGATGTCTTCTCTTTAGCTTTTCTTTTTAAAGTGAGAGTATTAGGCTTAGGGCAAAATCATAGATAAACCCAATCAACCCAATCCATAAGTAAGCAATTGAAATCCTAAATAACTACCTAGCCCACAAAACACAAACTGAAAATGCAGCCAAGTGGCCAAATTATATAAGTATTGAAAACTAAGCATTACGAAATGAAGACAACCAGAGTGTATGTATTGTATGTATATTTTTTGCAGCCCCAACCTATCCACGGCTGGGTGTGCCATAACACCAATGCTCAAAAATCAAAAACTTATTATGATGTTTTATGATAATGATGCTGATTTCAATGAGGATGATAATGATGACGAGATGATGAGATGATGATGAAGAAGATGATGATAAAATTAGGGCAATGGCAAAATGTTTTTATTTTTGATCAGCAGAAGATGACAGAGAAGAGCAAATTGTAGCTGTATACTAATAATAATTTCACATAATATTAAGTAAAAAAATTAATTGTTGATATTACATAAAGAATGAAGAGCAAAAAAAAAAAAAACAAAACAAAAGAAAAAAGTGAAAAACAAAAACGAAACCAACTGAATTAGAATTTTTCTCTAATTTCATACGGATGGTGGATGTGTAGTTGAAGCTAATTATAATGAATTAGCTGACAATGATTACGATGATAATGATGTTGATGATGATGATAATGCTTATGATCTCCAAGTCAATGTAAAGTTGATGCGATTTAAGCTGTTTGAGTGAATTGTTATTAAAATATAAATCGAATAAGGGGCGACAGCCACAATGCAAAACAAAACCAAAACAGTCAAAAGTTAGTATATGTATATCATTAAATGAGAATGATAAAAAACATGGCATAATATATGAAATTATATATATTATATATAGTTTAAAAGGGATTAACAATAAAACGAAAAAGGGAATGCAAATTAAATAAAAAGAAATAAACAGCTGCGGGCACTACTTGGTCTTATGTACATATATGTATGGCTATAACTCATGATGAAACTTGGCATTTGGACTTATAATAACTAAATGGAGGTATTTGCCAAGTTTGAGTTCGAAATTCCAATTACGGGAAGTACGATTTGTGTGGGAGAGGGGGGAGGAAGGGAAATTCCAAAATACACATTTTCTGCGTATTCACATAAGGCATCTTGGACTAAAATTTGGTGTCCCCAGGACTTATAGTCTCCGTTATATACTCCACTTTATTCCAGCAAGGCGTTGGGAATTGTTCCGCATATCAAATTAGAAAGTTTCCAGAGAGTTTGATCTAAATATGAAACTGTATTTTGATAGTTTGTATTTATTTGTATTACAGGTACCCACGAGGACGCCATGTATGGAACCAAGTTGGACACCATTCGTCGCATTCACACCGAAGGAAAAATGGCCATATTAGATGTAGAGCCGCAGGCGCTTAAAATACTACGGACCGCTGAATTTACGCCCTACGTGGTGTTCATAGCGGCGCCCTCATTGCAAAATATTGCAGATGTAAGTGTGCTATTGAGCGTGAAGGAAGGCTGTTTGGCATGCAAGTCATCGTTTTGTCTTTGATTTATTTACAGTATGATGGCAGTTTGGAGCGTCTGGCGAAAGAATCGGATATGTTGCGACAGTTATATGGCCATTTCTTCGATTTGACGATTGTGAACAACGACATAAGCGAGACAATTGCCACGCTGGAGACGGCCATTGAGCGAGTGCACACCACCCCGCAATGGGTGCCCGTCTCCTGGCTCTACTGACAAGACAGTGAGCTGGAATGCCCCGACTGTCTGGAGGGTTGCGATTGCGAGTGGGAGGCATACACGCAGGCGTCAAACGCGGCACTCTACTAAATCGAGCGATCCTCCACCAGCCGCCACCATCTAGGTGGCAACAGCGAACTGCAATTGTTTCAACCAAGTATTACCAGTACCACTTATATTTCGAGGCACAAATACATCACAAAAGCAACACACACCACACCACACCACACCACACAGAACAACAACTGCAACTACAATAAGAACTACAGTCGCAATCAGAATGGGGGCCGCTTATTAAGAAATGCGCTTGGCGCTTACAAAACAAACACAAAAAACACAAAAAAAAAAAAATCAGAAAGCAAAAGAAATGATTATTATGAGGTGTGTAAGAAGAAGACAAAGCGCAAAGACAAAATGTTCTATTATTTATATTTCTAAAAAGTGTTTAATTGTTTGCAGTTATGTCTTAGTTTTAGTGAAATATGCAAATGTATTGCCATTCCAGTACGCTGCCTAGTGCGTTATATTTATTGTTTATTTATATACTACATGCATATGTATTTGTTGTTTTTGTTTTATTGTTTACTAGTACTGTGTACATTGTATCTTTGAGCCGTGTGTTTCTTTTTAGTCAGACAGCATTAAACGCTTATGTAAATCCATCACTTGTTAGTATCTCTAAGTTAAGTTATAACTCAACAAAAATGAACATACAAGAAACTGTTTTCAATTAGTTTGCCACATCAACATCAAACAAAAGTCTTTTGAAAAGCGTCAAACGAGTTAGTATTATATAGCAAACTTACGTAATTAATTATAATTAAATATAACAACCACACAACATGCCACACACACACAAACCGACACCCATGCAAAACAATTAGAAAAGAACGCATAACAACAAACAACATTATATTGTGAGCAATTTCAAGTGTTTCATGAAAAAAATAAAAACAATAAATGCGAGATTAAACTACACATTTAAAGTAAACAAAAAGAAAGAACTAAGCAATTAAATGCAACTAACCAAGCGCACGTTCTTAACTGCAATGCAAATAAAAATAAAGAGTAAAAATCACAAAACGCCAACACACCACAAGGCAGGCGATAACAAGCGAAACGAATCATTTGTTGATGTTTAATTAAATTAAATGAAAATGAAAAAAATACAATCAAATTAAATAAATCATTTGCGAAAAGGAACAAAGAGAAGCATCATTATAAATGGCATTTAATGAATAAAAATAATAATAAAAGCAAAACATAGAGTGAGCACAAAATAAATTTAAAAAACAAAAAAGTTATACACACACAATGCAGAAAAAACCAAATAAAGAAATCAAGTTATCACCAACTACGATATTTAGCGAGAACATAGGAGAATGCGTAGCACACACACATACACTATCACACCTACATACACACCTATTTAAGTACGATATATGTATGTATATTTTTTTGAAGAACTCAAAACTCAGGTTGGATACATTGAAAATCAGTCGAAAGTTCAATGAGAAATATGTATAAATATATAGCGAGCGCTTCCTTTAAAATCCCACTGCTAATGCCAGACAATTCGTAGAAAAGAAGAATGAACCCAGCTAGAAAATAAATTGAAATTGAACATACAAGTAAAGAGAGATCAATAATAAAAAAAAACCACCCAGCGTCGCCTTTCCAGAAACTTCATTTGAAAAGCTACGCAGAAAAACTCAAAACTTCATTCAAATGCAACATTTTTGGCACTTGTAAGAGCACACCATAATACTTACTTAATAACAACCAACAATGCAGCTTAAGCAAAACTTTGTTAACTATATACACTCGGCTCGTACTACATACTATATGTATGTATGGTAGCCCTTGGCTACCTCTGATGTCAATTTAATGGCATGTGCACAACTTTGACAGCCCACTAGTAGCGAAGCTTCAAAGTTGTCCAAAGTTTACTTCATTAAAACTTAATGCGTCGAGTTTGGCTATAACTCTAGGCAAAAGTTTAAAGAGTGCGCACACACACACCCATACTTACACACACACATACACAATTTAAAACTCTAAAAGAATGTACGTTAAATGCCAAAGGTCTCGTTAACTTCCTAAGTAGCAAAGCGAAGCAGGCAACGTGGAACACTTACTTTAGGCCAACATTAGTGCGCCACAACAACGCAAAAATGTAATGAAACAACAAGAATTAAACATTTAAAACACTTTTTGGGCAACACACTAAAAACTTTAACTATAAAATGAAATTAAATTTATAATCTAAAGAAAACAAATTATGAGACAAGAAAGCCAGGCAGCATGACTGCAATGATGGCACATGCCAGCAAAAAATTACCCCTCAAAAAAGGAAAAATAAAAGTTCCACAAATGTTTCAAAAATGTTTCTCCACACACCAAGCAACAACCCTCATTTTCATTGCGACCCCTTCCCCCACAGCCCACAACTCCCCCACCTACCCAGTAAACACTTAAAACACTTAATGGCCAGAGCTTATTTTTGAATCAATAACACAAAACAGGAAAGCCACTCGCAATTTCACAATAGTTGTTATAATTAACCACATGACATGCAACAACAACAACAACAACAACCACTAAATTCTATGGTTTCAAAATGGTTGAACAATTTATTATGTAGATGATGATGATGTTTACGAAGATGATGACGATGATGATGTTATTTGAAGTTCCCATGCAATCGGCAGACGGTAAACAAAATTTCAGAAAAACACACGACACTAACGCTACAGATCAAGTGGAAGAAGCAACAGCATAAAGCCTATATCTCTCTCATTTGAAGCGAAGAGCTAAAGAAAACAAAATAGTAGAGATTTGTGTGGAACATAGATGAGAGATAAGATAATTAGATAATGTTGTTGATTTTGAGGGACTATTGGCAGAATATTTGTGAAAACGTTGCAAGTAGATTGTTATCAGTTAAAAATGCTATCATTTCGTTTGAATTTGGTTGCCTTCTCGCGGAAATGGTACTGAAGCTTTTTTCTAAGTATAAAATATTTTAGTAATTGAAGTGTTTTCTGGCCAATAAGAACTTCACAAAATGGTAAGAAAGTTTGAAAGATGTCTTCTCTTTAGCTTTTCTTTTTAAAGTGAGAGTATTAGGCTTAGGGCAAAATCATAGATAAACCCAATCAACCCAATCCATAAGTAAGCAATTGAAATCCTAAATAACTACCTAGCCCACAAAACACAAACTGAAAATGCAGCCAAGTGGCCAAATTATATAAGTATTGAAAACTAAGCATTACGAAATGAAGACAACCAGAGTGTATGTATTGTATGTATATTTTTTGCAGCCCCAACCTATCCACGGCTGGGTGTGCCATAACACCAATGCTCAAAAATCAAAAACTTATTATGATGTTTTATGATAATGATGCTGATTTCAATGAGGATGATAATGATGACGAGATGATGAGATGATGATGAAGAAGATGATGATAAAATTAGGGCAATGGCAAAATGTTTTTATTTTTGATCAGCAGAAGATGACAGAGAAGAGCAAATTGTAGCTGTATACTAATAATAATTTCACATAATATTAAGTAAAAAAATTAATTGTTGATATTACATAAAGAATGAAGAGCAAAAAAAAAAAAAACAAAACAAAAGAAAAAAGTGAAAAACAAAAACGAAACCAACTGAATTAGAATTTTTCTCTAATTTCATACGGATGGTGGATGTGTAGTTGAAGCTAATTATAATGAATTAGCTGACAATGATTACGATGATAATGATGTTGATGATGATGATAATGCTTATGATCTCCAAGTCAATGTAAAGTTGATGCGATTTAAGCTGTTTGAGTGAATTGTTATTAAAATATAAATCGAATAAGGGGCGACAGCCACAATGCAAAACAAAACCAAAACAGTCAAAAGTTAGTATATGTATATCATTAAATGAGAATGATAAAAAACATGGCATAATATATGAAATTATATATATTATATATAGTTTAAAAGGGATTAACAATAAAACGAAAAAGGGAATGCAAATTAAATAAAAAGAAATAAACATTCAATACCGATTTTTAAATGAATGACGTGCATGATGAGCCTAAAATACGAGAAGAAAGAAACCAACCACAGCTGCACAGACAAACAGAAGAATAAAACTCGAGGTATACTATATATAGAAAGCAACATAAAGATAAAACCAAACCGCTATATATACACACTTATATAACAACCAGAATTGCAATGAGGCGAGCGAGAAATATACGAGTATAAGACAAAAATTTCAACCAGTTTTTGCACAGATTCTCTGTTTTCAAAACGACGAAACTTAAAATACCCTGCGCCCAAAGGTGAACCCCAACTCCACGCAGGATGGGGGAGGAAAACCAGACTAGATCGTGCATTACTTAGTGTAATGATCGCTGTAAGAAGATTGACTTATATACTTAAGTGATAGAACAACTATATACTTGTATATATAAATTTCTGGTGTCACAAGGTTTGTCATCGATTCACTTCGAATGTACTGAACCGATTAAAATCAAATTTCACATGTATATGTGAATTAGCCTAACTTAAAAGATAGGATAGTTTTTATCTTAATTATTTAGGCGGTCTTGGTTAATAAACCATATATTCAAGGCTCCTTGTCATGATATCTGTTTTTAAGCATTAAATATCCTGCAACCAATGGTCCAATCAACTCAGGATTCACAGGTTGGGAGTCCAACATGGCATTTATATTTATAGAAATATTCATGATCACGTAAAGGTCTGGAAATACCAACACCTGGAATGCCCAAGTTTTATTTGTCTTCAACTTTTTGGTCACCCTTATTTAGATTTACGATCGTAGATTTTTTTTGCTTTGCTTCTCCGGATACTTTAAAAGTTCCGAAAACCTTGATAACCATAAGTAATTGGAAAAACAGGTGAAGTTTAGATTAACTTAAAAACTTAACATATTAGCAGGGGCAGCAGTCATAATTCATTTAAATTTTTACTGTGCAGCATGCTTAAGTCGAAATTTTAAACCCATGCAGTTTCTATAAATTATTAATTTCGAGCGAACACTGTTGTTATAGAAATGACTGGTTTTATTTGTTGTAAAAAATTTGATCCGAAGGTAAAGGTTTTTTTCGCAATCACTTCTATTTGCCGGCATATCAAAAAATGTTCAAAAACTGACAAATTGAGCTCAGAATTAGAGACTTACAATCTGGGACGTTAGTCTATAATTATTTATTCCAAATTATTTACAAGTAATATTCGCAAAAAAGTGTATAATTCATACGAAGTATTTGAAGACGAAATAGTCGTTAGTATTAAAATTAAATTTCGATCGGATCGGATTGGATCTGAAAGTTAGGCTTGTTTCGATTTTCAACCATTTGCCTTGATGCCCTAAAAACGAACTTTTTCTTGCAGATCCGAAAAATAAAAAACAGCTTATGGACTTCTATATTGATATGCTGGAAAAATCCTAGTCAATATTATTAAGAACTGGTTGTATTTCATAGTTGCTGAGCCATCCAACTGGTTGTGTGTGGTTGAAAAAATCTTAGAGGTCAGTTCGCGGCGTTTCTGGGAATAAAGGCTTATTCTGATATTTATAGTCTGTCTAAATAAAGCTCAAATTTCTTAAATATTTCTTTTGTTTTTTTTTTTTATCTGTCTTAAAATTGTAGGCTTGTTCGTAAATCCGTAAAATGAAATGATAAATTGCGACAATTCTGAATATGAATTATATGTATGTACTGGCTGTAGAGTATTCCAAGGTTTAATGAGTCCCACTACTTATGACGTTCTTACTGGCTCTGAGTGTTATACTGTGTGCTTGAAAAGTTCTTAGAAGTCGGTTCATGGCGTTTCTGGTGAAATTTAACGAAATGCTGTCTGCGCTGACCACGAGTCTGAGGCTGTGCTTGTGGCTGTGGATGTGGCTGTGGTTGCCCTGATATTACACATTCGCGTATATAAATATACATATGTATGTACATGTGTATATGTATGTGCATTGTCAACTTCTAATTGAAACATTATACACAAATTCGAATGTCAGCTCCGGAGACAACTTTGTCGCTCGCCAACCGCTCAAAGCTTGACCCAAATTTCTGTACATTTTTCAAGGTAATGCGAATTTGATACTTTCGTTTTTATTTTTTATCTACTTTACTTTTTCGTTGATTTGTTTATTTTTTGCAGCCGTACACAGTCGTATAGCACGAGTACATACGTATGTAATGTTTTTTGGGGTTTTTTTCTCTTCTGATTACAGACAGTTCTATCGAAGTCTTTCGCAATTTGTAGACATGTTTTCTGTTTCTGTTTCTGTTCAACTGCATTTATTTCAATTTATGCGCACTTGGCTGAACCCTCGACGATGGCGTTGGCGATGTCTATTCCGATGACGACCTGCCATGTGGAGCACAAACCTGTCTGCCACGAACGTACTCGTCCATACATATATACATATGTATGTATATATGTACATCTATTTTCCCTGTCGCTATGCTGTTTAGTATGCCAATGCGCAAACTCAAAACGTGCCGGGAAATATTAATAAGCGGAAAAGCGCAAACAGCTGGGGTGGAAGGCAGTCAAGTGGAGCGGACAGAGACATAGCACATACCTATGTACATATATGTATGTATGTATGTATATTGTGTATATGTACATACGAGTATCTATGTAAATCCCTCTACAAATATCGAAAGAATAGCAGCCGGAAAGTCGTGCTATATTATACATAGAGAGATAGACACTTGTGTGTCAAACGATTCCCGTTGCTGGCTGGCAGCCGTGGGTGGCCATTCGACTGGTCCTTACCCAAAATTTATTACAACTCTATGAAAACAATTGCTTCCGATAATAATGAGAGATAGACACACTTATCGTGTAATAGCAGGCTAACACTTGTATTGCAATGGTTTATGGTATTGGTGCCAATGAAATAGATTAATAAAGAAAAGATTCTACAATAATAAGTACTGGTACTAAAAGATTACATAGTACATATGTATATAAGACAATTCCAAACAAAGAAATATTAAGGAACTATTATTCTTTGAATAGATATAAAAGTTTCGTTTTGGAAACTGCGAAGTTGATGTGCTGTGATATTTCCAGAGAATCAATCAATCCAAAACTAATCCAGCTAGCTTTGAAATACTACAGAAATACTATAAATATCGTCTCACCTTTGACACAACCAGTGAATAGTGTAGCTTTACTTATCTTTAAAGGAAATGTTAAACATATCTTTCTATTTTTCTTATCAAAATACTATTAAAATGGCACTGAAATGGCAATTGAAATAATTAAAGATTGAATCTGTATTTTATGCTGATGTGTTGCTTCCCTTTCAAAAAATTTCCTTAAAATAAGATAAGAATATGCCCGACATTAACCAGTCCAGCTTATCTAAATAGTTTTTATACCCTCTACCCGTAGGGTAAAAAGGGTATATTAGGTTCTGCAAAATATGTAACATGCAGAAGGAAGCATCTCCGACCCCATTAAGTATATATATTCAGCATGACGAGAGAAATCGATCTAGACATGTCCGCCCGTCTGGATGAACGTAAGGATCTCAGAAACTATAAAAACTAGAATAACCAAAGTTGGTATCGAGATTCTCCTAGGTCCGAGAAAGGACGAGTTTATTTTATTTTTGGAACACTGTCGGGCTTGCTCGACTGTAGCGTTCTCTCTTGTTAATCATTAGGTTACTTAATTATCACAAGAACATATAATATTAATTTAAATAGCAAGAATAGAAGCTTTGCATTGGAATAGTAATTCGCAAATAGGTTTTTATATCAGAAAACAGCATTTTAATGTTGAAGTCAAATTCATTTTTGTTAAAGAAGCTTTCCATTCATAAAATACTTGTAAAATTCGAAAACTTTGTGTGCAAATTAAATGCCTGTCGCAATTTGTAAGAAAGAGTGACTAAAACGACCTTTTATTGAAATCTTAAAATAAAAATTAACAATCTTAAACTTAGAGTTTCCATTAACTATTGCCACAAATCGTACTTGATGTCAAGAATGGAAGCTTAGCTTTGTTTTCCAAGTATGAGAGTAGATTGATGGAGTGGCTGACTTTTTCTGCAAAGGATTTCAAAAGACTGTGGGTGCGATTTTAAGAGCCAGCCTAATGGGCGTGCAGAAGACCGTTCTGGCAGTCATTGAACTGTCGAAGCACAGCTGCATGTGCAGGATTTGAAGAGCAGTCGTTGCTGTTGCTGCTGCTTGTGCTGTTGCTGATATCAGCAACATGTTGCTGGTGTTGTTAGCAACAACAGCAACAGCAGCAGCAGCAGCAGCAGCAGCAACAGAAACCCCAACCTGTTGTCAGCTGCTTGCTTTGCTGCTCACTTGTTCTCACCGCTGCAGTCAACGGCGATCGAGTTTCTGCTTCTGATCGCTGACTATTAGTGTTAGCCAGCCAGCCAGTCAGCCAGCCAGTCAGAGTCGGCCAGTCAGCCAGTCAGCCAGTTTTATTTCGAGTCTGAGCGCATGAAGTTGTGCTCCGGATTGTCTCGTCGCTTGTCGATCACCGATCGTTGTGGTGTGTTGTTTGTTGCTCAAGTGTTTTTCAAGTGTAAGTGTTATTTCTGTTCAATATTTAAAAGCATTGCGACTGACGTAAAATTCCGGCTTTTTAATTGAAAATGCAGGCACGTGTGTACATGTGGAAGAGTGTGTAAGATTGTCTCTGTCTATATGTCAGTGAGTGTGTGTGTGTGTGTGTGTGTTTGAGTGCGTGTCGGCCGGAATTTGTTGTTAAAACTCAGTAACAACAACTGAACACCAAACACCAAACAGCAAACGCACGGCATACAGAAGTAGCTAAGAACATGACTTGTGCCTTATCACTAAAAAAAGAAGGGAAAAAATGAAAACGTAGCGGATATAGCAAACGGTATATGGACAGCTACAGCTATAAATAGCTAAAGTGTTTTTTAAGAAATTGAAAATAAAAAACATGCAGTGCCTTGAAGAGGCAATCAGTGCAAGTATACATATTAAATAAATCACTATCAGTATGCAGAGCACGTCATATTTGAACGAGACAGAGTGTATATGTGTGTGTGTGAATCTTTGCCTTCAGAATCAGCGGCGCGAATCTGACCTTTAACATCATCCATCAAAATTGTTTAACGATGCTGTTGTGGCTGTGGCTGTTGTTGCTGCTGCTGCTGCTGCTGCTGCTGCTACCAGCAACAACTGCTGGCGATAAGGCTAACTGGTAGTTATAAACGCTCCAATCAGTTATTAAAGCGTGCTTGAAGCTTCAGTCTAGCACTCTGCTAGCTTAATTCTATCTAAAATTTAAGAGTGTGTGCGCGTGTCAAAGCTTATCTAAACAAAAGCGCGCCTTAGCATCAGAAGCAGCAACAGCATTATAATTATTGACAACTAGTAGTCAAAAATTCAAATTCTCGAGCTCTCATTGTCAGCAACTTACAACAAGAACAACAACAACAGGCTTTATGTGCTGCTCAGCTTTAGTTTAAAATCGCGACTCAAGGAAACATTGGCGGTCAGCCTAAGCCGAACATCAGGCCTTATATCAGTATGTATGCATATGTTTGTGTCCGTATGTGTGTGTGTGCCCTTCGTGCACAAAGAGCGCATAAAACTGGCATAAAGAATCTCCAATTGACTTGCTAAGTTGTCGACGATCTGCGGCTTTAGCTTTGTTTGTTGTTGGCCGCACGCTTTGAATTTTTGATTCATTTGCCAGCCGCCCGATGCCTCCTCCATCTACTCCATCTACTCCAAGCAACTCCTCACAAGCGACGATGCGTCGTTTCGGTTTTGGTTTTCTGTTTCGGCATTTGGTCTTTTGCACAAGGTTAACATTTAATGCCAGCATTGTAAATAACTCATATTCATATGCGGCTACGGTTATTGCTTATTGATGACGACGATTACGTCAAAGATGCTGCAGCTGCGAAAGTTGTAAGGCCCCGGCCAGAGCGCGGGCGCAACAATGGCAACATTAGCACCACATTGTCGCCTCAATTTTTGCTGTTGTATATTCGCTGGCATACTTGTATATGTAGATACTATATACACATTACTATGAATGCATGTACGTGTATGTAGTTCGATTCTTAAAAAGCAACATCATTTTTAAGTTTTATAAATTTCATTTTTTGGGCCAACATTGTCGCCTTGCCTTGCGACGCTTGGGCGAGCAGCAACACCTCCAATTGTTTGACTGTCATGTGGATGTGACTCACAATTAAGCCCCTCCCCCCCCTGCCCCTTCCCAGTTCAAGCATGTGTGACCCTGCGAGTGAGTGTGTGCTTTAATTTATACTTCACCTCTATGTTTTGACCAAAAGCACACGTTGCCGTGCTTGATACCAACTGCAATCTAGCATTCATATTCTAAGCAGACGCTTTGCGCAACAACCTGCTCAGAGCTGGCGAATTGTTGTTGCTGCTGCTACCACTTCTCTAATAGGTTTGAGCACTACCCTCTCCGATAGAGTATTGTGTGTTTGCGAACTATGAAGGCCTCTATTGAGATGCTGAAAATAAGAGAGGGAAACGAATTTTGAAATGCTTAGTTAATGACGCGCTTAAAGTTTGAATTTATTTTCATTTGGAGGTGTTACAAATAACTGTAATTTACAAAATTCGTTTTAAAAATTTAGAAAAAGTCCCACTTAAGTACAAATATTTTATATTAAAATTTTGTTATTAACTTTTGCAAATGTAGTTTATCTAATTAAAAGCTCTAGAAGACACCTTAAAACCATATAATTAAAGTAATTAAAGTCATTAAAAGCTCTAGAAGACACCTTAAAACCATATAATTAAAGTAATTAAAGTCATTAAAAGCTCTAGAAGACACCTTAAAACCATATAAGAGTTAAATTAAATTACAAACTAAAAACTATCTATGGAATTATACTAAGAAAGAAAACCAAAATGTTGTCCTAAATAAACAAATGTTGTTGGGGATAGTTTTATGATACAAATGCATAAAGAAGCAATGGAAATAAATATAATTAAATTATATAATGATATTTTGGAGTAGAATGTTATGCAAGAAAGAACCAATAAATCCTGCTCTAAGAAAACTTCAAAATACGGCGAATGCATATTTTTTATTTCATCGATCCTTAGAGTATAAAACGCCAGTTTGAATAACTTTTCATGTAAGTGTTGGGGCTCCATTTCCCGAAAACCGCTCCTAATATCTCATCAAAAACAAAAAGAAAACATGAGCCACTTCCTAGCCTTGCATTTTTTACAATACCAAAATAAAAGCGGCCTATAAAATATTTGAAAAGTCAACATCAGTACAGAAAAGTCTCAACTGCAGGATGTCAAAGATTCAGTCTCGATAATCCAATTGTCTTTCCACCTTTCCAGAGTGTCGACTGCTCCAAAACAATTACAAAAGTTGCATCAAATAGTTTTTGTGTTAAACATAAATTAAAGAATTGTTCCTCTTTGCATAATACAAATTTCACTTAATAATAAATTTTCAAGCATTTTATGACAGAGTGTCCCGTTGGTAAATGAGTAGCGAATGCAGTTTATTTTGTATTCTTTTTTAGAATACAGAAAACACGTTTGAAGTTAACCGTTTTCTCCCAATATAAAAATTGGTATTTTGAAACAAAATATTAAATAATAAAAGTGAAGAAAATTTAGTAAGTCAATTGACATTTTGAAACTGTTCTTCTTTTGCTTATCCTTTTGAAGGATAAGCTCACAATTCATTGAAACTGCTCGAGAAAGAGAGGTATTGAGTGAGATGTAAAGAAGTTACGAAAATGAGCAGAAAATCGTTGAATGTTTACATTTTAAGAAATAAACATCTTTTGGAAATATAATTTTATCATTTCATCGGTAAAAAATAAATCTTTTTTCACAAATTAATAGCGATAGTTGGATTTTGGAAGAATTGTGTGAGTCTGAACCTAAAAAAGCTTTCCTGAATTGAGAGAATTATTTGAGAGTAAAAACTGAAATTGGAACCGATGCCATAGTAGATAGACATTATGCATCTCGTTATCAGCACACTGTACTACAAGTATAGTATATTGTTGTTGTCTACTTTTTGTAGTCAAATGTCAAAATAGTTTGTAAAGCCGAGAAACTTGGCATTGGAAGCAAAACGATTGATTGACAAGCCCGGAAATGTGCGGCTATACTCATGCTTATACAAGTATAGTACGTGTAGTGTCAACAAGCTACAAGAGAGCTCGTAAAATGCTTAAGTACCGATCCAAATTTGAGGCTGTGAAGAGTATTTTAGTGTCGATGACGTTTTGTCTTCGGTCTCGGTCGCGGACTTGGTGTTGGTGTCGGTTTTGCTCTTTTTTTTCGCTGTCGCCGCTTCCTCGGACCGCAATCCGTCAGCGAGTCCAACAAGAGACACAACCACCGAACCGGTTTAAAGTGGCGCGCTTATAGTACAACAACAACAGCAGCAACAACAACGACGCCAAATAGTGTATTATAAAATTTGCAAAGCGAAAAAAGTTCAAGAAAAATGTTTAGGAAATAATTTGCATGTTGTGGGACGGCGACGAGACAACAACATTGTTGTTGTTGTTGCTGAACCAATTTTGATAGTTTTTTAAGTTTTGTTTCTTGTTGTTGTTGTTGTGTCTCTATTGGCAATTGCAGGCCAACTGAGTGCGCTTCTCAGCTCAGCTCAGGTCAGCTCAGCTGGGTTCGGCAGAGTTCAATTGGGGTCTCTACACGACTCTAGCTCTAAACTGTGGATTGGAGTGCGGTTCAAGTTCAACACGCCAGCGGTTCACGGTCAATTAGAGCGCGCGCATAAATTATTGCGAGCGGTGACTAAAAATAATAATAATAATAAAAAAACTACAACAACTTACTCGCAGTAGAAAAGCGAATAATAAATGTTAATAATTATAGAGAAGCTGAGGCTGAAGTTAAGGCAAAACTACCTGGCCATAAATTGAATTGTTTTTATTTTCATTTATATTTTTATTACTCCCCCCGCGTCTGGATCGTCCATTTGCAGTTGCCCTGCATATACGCGTACATACATATGCACATATGTATGTGTTTATGTGTATGTGAAGAATCAGCGAAATTGGTCGCTCCGTGTGCGGAGCGATGAGCCCGAGGCTGGGCCTGTTCTGGCTGTTGACACTTCTACTGTTGGCCTCCAGCGGCAGTCGCGAGTCCCAGCTACGCATTGGCAAAGCCATCAACATATTCCTACGCTATGGCTATCTGGGCATCTCGATGCGCGTGATACCCTACACGGATAATGAGGAGACCGAACGTTGGATATTCAAGGAGCCCACCAGAAACGTCTACAAGGTGAGTGCTAAATCGGGATTGAAAGAAATTCATTCAAATGAAACTTATTAGAAGACCGGCGAATATTTATAGCCTACATATTATTTGATTTGTTAAAGAGATCGTGGATTGCTAATGCATTCGAATTGCCAACAGGTTTGCGTTATTTTCTTCTTGTTCTTCATTTGTATATTCCTTTCACTTTGTCTTGAGCTTCTAATTAATCGTCTCTGAACAGCAAAGACTTTTATAGCTCTTCATTGCCCAATAATTTAATTTAGATTTCCTTAGAAACAAAAGCAATTTCGACGTTGTAGTAGGAGGAATGTAAAATACCTGTTTGGTTCGTCTAAAGGATCACTTGGATGTGTCGATTGCTGTGGACAAATACCGACATGCATATTGAAGAGAGAATAGGTGGATGGGACTCTGTTGTTTGCTTTCCTAATAAGTATAATTTTTATATATTTTTTCCAATTTAGTTGAAGAGTTGGTTTATACTAAGATTTTAGGATAACATTCTTTGATTCTTCTTTAATTCTATTAGGTACCCAAGGAACCATTATGTAATAGTGGGATTTGAAAAGATCTTTCAGATTTTGGGGTGTTTCGATTCAGTTTTTTAAATAATTGTTATATTGTATTAATTATTCTATTGTAAATAATTATTCTATTCCATTAAGCAAATGGGAAGAAAATGCTCATGTTTTTTTTTTGGAAATAAAGATAACACTGTGCATTTTAGGGATAGGGAGCGTGGAAATCGGTATAGATGAAGTAGAAAAATTATCCTTTGACGTTAATTTGTGAATCATTTCGATATGTTGGCTTCGCTATTATTATTTTGAACTTGTTATTAAGTTATTTTCTTAATAATTTTATTTTAAACATTAAACATTTTAATTAATTATTAGTTTCCATTCATTTTGAACGCATACTTTTTCTATCGCACAGAACATCCATTTGCTTACGGAAACCAATGAGGACAATACGCCGGGCATATTCCATGGAGACTTTCACATGGAGTTCTGCGACAATCGTCGTCAGCTGTTCCAGGCCTATTTTCGGGACTTTACCATTGAGCGGCTGGACAAGCCGTGGGAGGCCTTCACTGGTGGCTGGTTTCCGGATAACGCCGCCAAGAAATTGGGCATCAATAACTCCTTCATACAGGGCGACTACTCGTATGTGTTGGTGCGAGTCGTGAGGTTTCGCGAGACGGGAAAACTGAGCACCCAAATACCCATCAATCAGACCCTGGAGAACGATGTGAGAGCGCGCGTGGAACAAATGCAAATAGGGAATTTGACGTCAGCCATGCGGTTTATGGAATCCTTCGGCACCCATTATGTGAACTCGTATACGACGGGGAACTCGTTGTATCAGGTGTTCGTCTACAGTCGCAAGAACTACAAAATGATCAAGGATCGCATCAAGAGCAAGGGACTGAATGGACTCTCCAAGCTGGATCTCTACAACTACTTTGCTCCGTGGTTTGCCGAGCACTTGGGTCACATAAGATCGGCCAGTGCGAATGCCACCTTAGAACGGTGGGCGCGTCGGAAGCTGCAATACGAATACTACGTAGTCAAGTACCTATCGCTGCTGAAGCTGCATGGGAACAGCACGCTGCTGCGATCGCTGGACACCCTGCTGGGGAACGATGCCATACTGCAGCTCGATCTGAAGTCATTGAACGTGGTGTTCCGCGAGTATCCGGAGAAGGAGAGTTGGTTCCACGAAGTACTCGACAATAACATGAAGTTGTGGGAGCTGAACATGCCGCAGAACCATCCAAATCGGTAGTACATAGCCAGCCTAGGACTAGGCCCCCAAAAAGTTCCTAGAGTGCGCTGAAGGGAAGTTGACTGCAGAACCATCAGAAGATATCTCTGCTATCCATTTCATCTCTAGTTGTAGTAAAGACCTAGCTTGTAATTACTGTTTTGCCTGTGATAGTTTTTAGTTAGTGTAATTATCCAGAACCCTATTAAAGAGCGTTTCGATTGTACATTTGAAAGTAGGCTTTCCATATCATTTCGAAGAGATGCCATGCCCTACAACTTTTGCGGAAGAGTTGCGTCAATTGGTTATAATGCCTGGGGGGAGAAGGTGTTTCACACCTAGGTGCGGAATCAATTTATTGTCAAAAGTGTTGAATTCGTGATTGAAATCTTCATAACCGCCTGTTTATTAATATGAAAAAACCGAGTTTTGGACTATGAATTGTATTATAAGCTTTCCTTATACCTTGCGCCTACCGTTAGAATAATCTTTCAATTTCGCTATGTGTCTTGAGAAATCTTTTGCTAATGTATTTACTCAGCGACAAATTAACAGTTGAGAATACCTGAATTTAGCCTCAACCTAGATGAATTAACTTCGCGCTCTATCGAAAATAACACATGATATGGTAATTAAAGATAATTCTAACTTGTATCAAATTTCGGTCATTTGCAAAATACAAATAATGTGTCAAGGAATTTATCAAGCGAGTGGAAATATTTCAAAAATATTATTTTACTCTCAAATGGCACGGAAACCATATAATACGCCTTGTAGCTTTAGAAGTATTGATAAATTTTAGAACAGTGCCAAGGTTTGGGTGTAACTGTGTGGATGTAACAGTTTAGAAGCCATTGCGCACAGACTTTGCATAACCGTTCTACCCGAACAGTTCGAGAGCAATTGTAGACTGCATTTCATCGTTCCGTGTGGAGGTATGTGTCTTGGCTAGATCAAAACCCACCACGTGGTAGCATAAACTTACCATATGGTAAGACATTAGTGCATTTTAAGAAGTATATCGAGCGCTAGGTGGGGCTTTAGCTACTGTAGTTGAATACATCTTAACAATTTTGTTTCTCATATTTCTTTTTTTTGGAAATAATTGTTAAATTTGATATAAACCAGGCTATTTGATTGATGTGTGTATGTATGCTATGACAAACATTGTGTTGAGCAGAAATTGGGGCAGAAAATTATTAAAACTTGCTCCTATTTCTATGCCACATTTTTTGCTTGTTTCTCCCATTTTGGGGAAGTCCGCCAACCGGAAGTGTTTTATGCGACCGAAGTACGTTGAAGTGAGTGTTTCAGGTTGCGCCAGCTGTACAGAAATCATAGGCAATTCAAAATATTTATAGTTATCAATGACAGCAGCTTGCATGGCCGTTGACGACAGTTGGAAAGACTGAGAGGAGAGTGGAGCAGCGAAACTATAGTAGCAAGCAATCAGGCGGCCAGCTAGCTACGAATATAAGACGCTGATGATGGTTGTTGGAGGTAGGGGGATGGCACTGGCAATGCCAATGCCGAAGCTGAAGCTGACGCCGCCGACTCTGTTGATAAACTCATCCATCTCCAATCCACTTACGAGCGCAAATATTTACACAATTTACTCGAAAACGGAGGTATGAGCATATAATATTTCCAAAAACGATGGCAAACATACACACATACATACATACATGCACAGCATACACGCACTCTTCTATATATACACACACACACACACACACACACACACATACATACAAAGAAGCGCAGGCTGTTGATGTTTGGCAGTTAGGCTGAGCGAGCAACAAACCTCATCAACCAACAACTAAGGCGACCCAGCAGGCTGGGGAAACATTTCGGGCATTGGAAATTTTGTGTTCGAGCCAAATCAATGCTGATGAGCTGCTGCGATGCTCATCGAGCATTCAGGATAGAGTCCGCAGAGGAGGATTCTGTGCATGAATGAAATAATATGCGGAGCTGCTTTTGCACTCAAATGTGTGTTTGTGTGTGAGCGTGTGTGGAAGTGAATGCATACACTCGGAGAAATTGTGTGAAATATACATTTTGGCTATTAATTAAGGCTATTTATAATTATAAGAGCCTGCAAGGATGGCAGGTTTCTGTAAATCCATGGATTAAATTAATATTTGTGATTGTCGGCTTGTAGAGGAGTGTGACAGAATATGTATAAGAGTGAACTTCCAAAAAGGACCTATTGCTTTTTGTGTGTCTAATGCATCCACTTGTGATTGGGATGTGTAAGGATGTTGATGGGCAAATTAATTATTTCCCTTTCAGACCCAACGTAAAAACTACTGAATATTTGTTTATGAAATTTCAAAATATATGGTCTTTATATTTTATAAAAATATTCTCAATGTCTAGGTTTCGTAGTTTTAATATCCTACATGGATTTTCAGAATATGGGTTTTCAGAATTCCCGTTCAAAGTTTTAGCTGAAAAGAATTTTTTGGTTGCAAACAATTATTTAAACTCATTTGAAATACTTGTATTTTAGTTTTTTTTTTTTGTAAATCTTTAATCTTTACATAAGATCTGTCCTAGGTTGGACAGTTATTAAATTTTATGATAACAATTTTTAATCATTTTTAACCGAGTGCCATTATTAGAAATATTAAAATTTATTGTTCTAAAATTTAAAATGCATTTTTTTTTTGCCAGTTATTCGTTGTATTAATTTTTTTAATTGAATTATTGTTTTTACCATATTCAAGTAATGGTAAAGCAAACCGAGGAACAATGTGAGAAACAAACGTAAGCAATATCATGCACATTGGATGCGTTTAAATCTTATTAACATTCCTTGAATTTAAATGGAAATATTGTGGCCAGAACCTACCTGCACAATCGATGCTTCAGGGTCTGAAAGGGATATTACGATAGTGTCAGATCAGTTGTTGGCGGAGTTCTTTGCAGCTATTGGTATATGAATGAGCCTTCGTACCAACAGTTATTGTTCTTTAATATCTGAAGAAAAAGAAGAAATTTCTTGTCAACGCAAATGCTTACGATTTCCAAAATGAAATTGTCATTGCAGTTGAGATTTTTACTGTTGTCAGTTCAAAGATATAACAAATTCAAGGATGGTCCTAAATTTTTTTATTTTAGTTATGAATCGCCCATTGGCCATATCAGAATGTATGTTAACAATGATCACATTTAGTAAAACAAATAAAAAGAGTTGAGTATTTGCATTAACAAGTTTTTGAACAATCCACTTATTAATATTTTAAGTAAAGTTTTCAGATATCATTGCACTTACAACCGGGTGTCCTGGACATCTAGTAGTAAAGGAATTGAACTATTCTTTTGCTTCTTGTCCTTTTTTATTACAAATTAAGTAAATCACGGTTAATAGACGTGTGCATAGCCGAGGTACGACTGTATTTTATTTTAAATTTTAATTAATGAAATTTTTCCAAGTGCATGCATTGCCCATGCCTTGTGGAAAGTTGGACGACGAGGCAAGCAAATCAACTGTGTACATAGAAGAGATTAGTATGGGGGCCCCAAAAATATAGATCGTGTATACATTGATATGTCGGCGCTTGGCCGGCTTAAATATAATGGCTGCCAGCATTATAAGCGATTCATTTCAGCCAGCAGCAGTTCAAGCCAAATGGCCAGACGTTGTCGATTGGCGCGTTGGTCGTTAGGCCAGCCAGTCAGTCAGTCAGTCAGTTAGTCAGTCAAGCCAAATGATGGGCGCTGTCCGTGTGTGCTACTCAACGAAATTAGAAATATGTGTGGGCTGTTTGAAGAGTGTGAAATGGGTGGGTGGGGCTGTGGTGCTGCGGTGCTGGGTGGTGGGTGGTGGGGTGCTGGTCAATAATAATTTCATAAATGTAATCAGCAAGAGAGGGAGCGGCGGCACAGTGATTGAGCTCTTAATTGGACATCGATATTAATCCTTGAGTGGTGGTCAAGCTGCTTCGTTGGGTTTTGTGGGCGCGCTCGTTAGGTTCCAACAGCCCTCCTCCCCTCAAACACATGTCGGCCATTTTCATTAGTTAGAGTGTACGGGTAAGTTAAGTTGTCGTCACAGAATTGTATATTTTTACAATATTTTGAGGATTGATTTTTAAATCAACAGACACGTCTCAGAGTCAACGTAAACATCAACAAAGTCTGGCCGCTGCACAAATCTTTCTTGAATCGAAAATCCTGCAAACAGCCTGAGCAACACGTGGAGAAGTCAAAAAGTCCGGCTTAGGTTTAAGCGTAATTAGCGTTAATTGCGCGATGCGTTCTCGGACCTAAGTCCTCACAGATTCCCACACACTCACACACACACGCGCACAGAGAGCTGAACGCATTCTTTGTGCTGTTCTGAGTCTGTGTCTGTGTCTGAGTTCACGCAACATTGCGGCCACTTCAAGTTTAATTTAGTTCTTTTTTGAGGCGGCTACAACGTCGCTTGCCTCAAGTGGCAGCGTCCAGGGACGTGTGAACGTCGCTTGTAGTTGCTACCAATAGTTGCCCCCTAGCCCAAGCACCGCACCCGCAACCCAACCATCACATCATAATCGACATGGACGTCGCAATCGACGTTCAAAGCTCGTGCCTCAACTTGCGATGATTGATGGTGCGCTCGTAATTTGGGAAATTAGAAACATACAGAATAAAAAAAGGGAAATGCGAAAAAGGGGTGGTTCGTGGTGGCAGCTCGTCTCTTATTTTCGGCTGGCTACCGAACCAAACCGAACCGACCGCGACCGCCTTTGCTAATGTTGTTGGCACAACAAGGTGTGTCCTGACAGTGTGCTGCCTGTCCTGCATGTCCTGGCTGGCGGACGCGTGCACTGGCGTCGCTCATCGCTTGCGGGCGCGTGTGCGATGAGGACGAAAACAGTTATTAGAAAACAATTTAATTAAATATTCACTTGAAAGCCTGACGAAAACAAAAAACAGAGAATGGAAAATGTAAAAGCGACCCAGAAAGCGAGCTTTCTCATCATAAAGACCTCAAACAATACCCATGCCCATCAATATTAAACGACTCTGGTGTCAATTTAGAGCAGCTCGTTCCTGCCTAATGTGAGAAACTTTTTGTGGAAGGGCGGGCCCAACCGAACCGAACCGAACCCAACCGAACTGAACCAAACCAAGCCATGCAGACCACACAGCCAGTCCGTTTGATCTAAATTGCATTTAATGAGCTGGCGTGGGAGTGTGGCGAGCTGAAGGGTAGGGGATAGGGCAGCCCCTTGGTACCTA